CTCTCATAGTTTCAGGCTGATACTGCTAAATAGAAGGCAATCTTTTCCCTATTCTATCGGCCTTCTCCAACCTGGACTTCAAGTATGCTGAGACTTGTGACCCTGCTTTGCCATGCCCTGTTCTTGAATTTCATTGCTGGCCTTGTTGCTGTGCTCACTGCTTCAGCTTTTTGCACTAATATAGAAACTTGTGCAATAAATAAATACGTAAGATTAAACAAATCCTCTGTCCCGTAAGGCTGCGTTTGGCTTCTTTCTGCTCGTTATTTTATGCAGCTTTTCCAGCTCTGCCATGAAGTGAGAGTCTGGTGGAAACTGGGAGCTACTCCACCTGTCACTCTGCTCTTTTATTCCATTTTTGTGGTTTCTTCAGCTGATGGTATCTAATGGAAGTCAGACAATTAGAAAATAGGACCTTTAGAAGATAACACCAAGTGGGCCCTGCTGGCTGGGAAACTCTTCTAGTAGACCGATAGAAGGATGTTGTCTCAGCAGGTAGTTAAAGCCTTAGATAGATGGACGAGGTCTATAATGGCGGCAGCATTTCCCCTCTTTGAGGACCTGACTGGACTGTTAAAGGGTCTCACCTGATTTTGCAGGCTGAAACTTCAAGGCTGGGGAGCTGAAGGTTCTACTGGCATTCATATTCTGAGCCAAAACACCAAGTTAGGGCTGTGTTCATCCTTTGACTGGAAGCATCTTATCCCAAGGAATTAGCTGAATCCTTTATTGCACGTTGGAAGGGCCAAGGGTTAGGTCATGACATCTGTTACCAGAAGGTCTGTGGAACACGCTCCCCAGGGAGGTTCGCCTGGTGCTGTCACTGTTTTCGGCATCAGGCGAAGACCTTTTTATTCTCCCAATATTTTAACAGTTAATTGGTTTTATCCTTGTTTTTATCATGATTTATTGGATGCAGTTTGTTGTTTGTTGTATACGGTCGCTTCGTTTTTTGGTTTTTTGCTTTTTGTAAGCCATACAGAGACTTTTAGTATTGGGATGGCATATAAAAATTTTAAATAAATAAAATAAGGTCTTTGAGGAGAAAAATGTCTTCTTCCTGTTAATTAAGCGTATTTTGCTCCACTTTTCAAGTACCGTTTTTCTCTGATCCATGGAATGAGCGTCTTGTGATTCTTCTTCTTGCTCTGGCAGGCAAAGCGTGGGTGACCGCAGATGATGGGGAGAACTTTCTGCCGAGCGATTCCCAGGTGGCGGGGCCATACAGGGTCTTGACGTGCAAAGTAGAAGAGACCCTCCCACAGTACAGGGAACAGGAAGCGGCCACAGCGAGTCAGGAAGGAGAAGCGTGCCGGCTGGGAACCCACTCGGTGGAAGAAGTGGATGAACCTGTTCCTTGTGGACAAGGTTACAAGGCCCCTAAGGAAACCACGCTGCATGCAGGAATTGATGCTGGTAAGAAAGAAAACGCCTGCAGAGGTGAGCTTGCGGTCTGGGTGTGGAAGGGCAGCTTCGTCTGGGTGGGATGACCCTGCCCCCCAGCTTATGGGGAAAGCGTCTGGAAGAATACTGGCACTGAGCCAGGAAAATGAGCACATTTGATCACAGAGTGCTGCAAAGACCTATGACTGAGCCTCCTTGCTAAAGCTAAGCAGGTCTGGGTTTGGTCAGTGGCTGGAAGGGAGACCACCAAGAAGTCCTCTGTAGCCAGCTGGGCTTGCACAATGGAAGAAAGATGGAAAATCAGTTTCATAAAGAGTAATAAAACAGTGGGATCAAAAGGGGTCCTCTAAGGGCATCTAGTCCAGCCCCCTCCTCAACACAGGAAATCCAAAAGAAGACCCTACTCAGTGGATGGGGTCTGTCTATCCCCTGTTGATCACCTTCCTTAAGGGGCAGCTGACTAATCACTGTGGGGTCAAACTGTGCTACCCCCCCTTTTAATCATGAAATTTTGTTTTATGCACACTGGAGAAAGACCTGTTTTAATGCCAGATGTATCAAGTGAAATGGAAGATGGAATCCTCGTGCTGGGTGACTCCCTGGGCCACCCTGCAAAGGCCACGTGTGACCAATACTAAAGTCTCGGCACTGGCTGCCAGTGCATTTCCAGACACAGTACAAAGGCTTTAGAGCCCTTCGTGGCTCAGGTCCAAAATCCCTTCAGGAGTGCCTTTGCCTAAGGTCCGCTGGGGAAAATCTTCGGAAGTTTGCTTCTGTAAGATTAAAGTCTACTACCTACAGGACTTTCTCAGTGGTGGCCCCTAAACTGGAATGGTCTCCTGGAAGAGAGGTGCCTGGTATCCCAGATTGCTACTTTCTAAAGGGAATTAAAGACGTATCTCTTCTGACAGGCCTTCCCAGATTAGTTTATTTTAATTACATGATGATGATGATGATGATTTCATTTGGTTTTGTTATAAATTTATTAGTTTTCTTTAATATAGAATCATAGAATAGTAGAGTTGGACAGGGCCAAGAAGGCCACCGAGTCAGACCCACTCAATGCAGGACTCGATGCTTTTTAGTCAATATGCCTGTTTTTAGTTGACATTTTAATTATTGTTGGTTTTAATCTCTTGTAGACTGCCCAGGGCCTATAGAAATGGGGTGGTATATAAAAATTCAGAATCAGCAAGCAAGCAAGCAAATAAATAAATGAAGTACTAGTTCCCCTCTGCTCACTAGTCAGATCTCACCTGGAGTCCTGTGCCCAGTTCTGGGCACCAAAGTTTTAAAAAATGCAGAAAAGTCAGGAGGAGTACAGAGGAGGGCAACAAGGATGATTCAGAGACTGGAGACAAAGCTGTCCGGGGAAAGATTGAGAGAATTGTCACTGCGAGGGCATTACCACAGTGGAACCTGTTGCTTGGGGAAGTCATGGGCTGTCCGTCACTGGATACATTTGTAGGAAGGCTTGTTCCACAGCGGCCCCACAGTTTGGGCAACAGTCTGCGGAATGCAGAGCTTGCCTTGGCGATTCTGCAGTTGACCTCGATGTCAATTGTCACTGCTTGGGAGAGGGTGCTGCCAAGGTATGTAAATTGGTCCACTGCATCCCTTCACGGTGATGGTGGCCTCTTGGTGTTGGGCTTTCGGAGCTGGCTGAAGTTGAGTTCCCCAATAATCAGCACTTGTAAGACCTCACTTGTGTCCAGTTCTGGATACCTAAGTCTTAAAAAGATGCAGAACGGTTAGAAGGGGTAAGGAGGAGGGCACCAAAGCTGATTCAGAGACTGGAGGCAAAGCCGTCCAGGGAAAGATTGAGAGAAGTGGGCATGTTCAGCCTCCAGAAGAGGAGACAGAGGGGAGATGGGATAGCAGTGCACAAGTGCCTGTGAGGCTGTCACAACAAGTAAAGACGAGCGCTCTCATTCCGGAGTGCAGGACATGGAATAACGGACCTAAGTTAAAAGAAACCATCGACTAGGCAGCAGGAAGGATTTCCTCACTATCAGAGCAGTACGACAGTAGGATCTATTACCTGAGGAAACTGTGGGCTCTCCCTCACTGGTATATTTTAACAAACAAATAACCCCCTACAAAAATCCTGGAGTTTACTCTTGTGTTTTATTTCTTTTGAAAGGGGGTCCAGGGGTTCTCAAGCCTGAGCTGACCTCCTGGCTGGAAGAGCAGGAAGCTCCGTTTTTCTGTGGTTTGGAAGAAACTGCAAGACCATCAGGTGTGTACTGGGCCTCCTGTCTTGGAGGAAGCCTGCTCGTGCCTTCAGGAAAGGCACCTGTGTCCCTTACAGCTGGGTTTTGACAGGTCAACAGTTCCCCTAGCAATAGTAGCCAGCAGTGTTTATGGTATTGTGAAGGTCGGGGCTGGCCAACTGGTGACCCTCCAGCTGTTTCGGCCTGCAATAGCTTCCCTTATCTGGTGACCTTCAGAAGCATTTGGACCACAACTCCCAGAATTCCCATCCAGCTGGGCCATGGACTGGGAATTCTGGATGTTACAGTCCAAACAAGTTTGGAAGGCGCAAGGTTGGGGAAAGCTGGCTTACAGCTCCCAACAGCCTTTGCCAACATAGGTCCTGGTGAGGCATTATGGGAACTGTAAGCCAAAACATTGGAAGAGCCACCAAAACAGGGCCCACCTTACAATCTGCTGGGAGAAGCAGTGAGCAGAGCCGGAATAGGTTTGAGAGAGATGCCCAAGTACCTCCTTAGGATATTCCATGTCTCCCCCGCTCAGTTCCACACCCCTCCATGATTATCTGTCTTCCTTCACCTGTTTTAATTTTATAAAACTGATTAATTTTATTCCATTTATTAAAAATGCTTCTGGCCGTTTTGCAGTGATGAAATCTCATAAATGAGCGCACAGCAAAAGCAGCCGGATGCATCACCTTTGGGGCTCTTGGGTTTCGGAGTAGCAAGTTGCTCCCCTCCTCCATGCAGACTTGCATGTGCTGCAGAAGGAAGTTGTCAGGTGTGCCACAAGGGGTTCTGCATGCATGTGCAGACTTCCTCTTGGCTTGGCTCTCTTTCTAAGATGGGGTCAAACATGAGAGGAAGTCCATGAAGGGAGGCAGATTCCAGCTAAGATGATCACAACCGTAGCTGGAAGTCACTATTAAATACATCACTGACGAAGATCCAAGCAAGGTTGCCAAGGAGAGAACATTGAGGAGGGCTTTCATTCTTAGAGGTGCCACAATCAAAGACAACTGGATTGCGCCTAACAACAACAGGAAAGAATGTTGTGAGGGTTTGCTTTTTTGTGTGTGTGTGGTTCTGATCAGGTTTCTACCCCTTTAGGTGATATAAAGGGTCACCAGAATGAAGAACTGCATGGGAACTTGTTAGAAAGAAGGAAGCAGGAGGCATCAAAAGAGAATTTTGGACATCCAGATGGCCCAAAGAAGCAGGAAAGAAGCTACACAGAGAAGAAAAAGGACAATTCCATTCCTTGTCATGTTGGGAACTTCCATGAAATCTCACTCCAGCAAACTGAACAGGGAAGGGCTGACTACCTTGATGCACACTGGAGAATCTACGCAGACCTTACAGAATGTGAAATGCACCAAACAGGTGAGAAGCCCTATAAGTGCTTGGAGTGTGGAAAGAGCTTCAATCGCAACACAACTCTTACATCACATCAGAGGATTCACACAGGGGAGAAACCATATAAATGTTTGGAGTGTGGCAGCAGTTTCAATCAGAGTGCCAACTTTATTAGACATCAAAGAATGCACACAGGAGAGAAAGCACACAGCTGCTCATACTGTGGCAAGAGCTTCTGTGATAAATCAAGCTTCGTTCAGCATCAAAGAATCCATACAGGGGAGAAACCATATAAATGCCCAGACTGTGGAAAGAGCTTCAATAAAAGCACAAACTTTATTAGGCATCAAAGACTCCACACAGGGGACAAAGCATATTATTGCTCACACTGTGGCAAGGGCCTGTGTGACAAATCAAGTCTGATTCAACATCTGAGAATTCACACAGGGGAGAAACCATATGAATGCCTAGTGTGTGGAAAGAGCTTCAACAAGAGCACAAACTTTCTTCGACATCAAAGGATACACACAGGAGAAAAACCCCATAGTTGTTCCGACTGCAGCAAGCGCTTCTATGATAAACCAAGCCTTATTCAGCACCGGAGAGTCCACACTGGGGAGAAGCCCTTTAAATGCTTGGAGTGTGGAAAGAGTTTCAGTCACAGGGGAAGCCTTAGTGCCCATGTAAGAATCCACACAGGGGAGAGACCATATAAATGCCCAGATTGTAGCAAGAGCTTCCGGGCTCAATCAAGTCTTCTTAAACATAAAAGGATCCACACAGGGGAGAAACCCTATAAATGCATGGAGTGTGGAAAGACCTTTGGTCAGAGCACCCACCTTACTTCTCATCAGAGAATGCACCTTGGGAAGGGGCCATACAAATGCTCAGACTGTAGCAAGACCTTTTGTGACACGTCGGGCCTTGTTAAATATGAAAGACTGCACCTGGAGGAAACCATGTGAAACCAACCACATGCATTCTGGGATGGCGGAAAGCTCTCATAGTCTATGGATATCTACAAACTTACATCAAAGGATTTATGGGGCAGGGAGCTAGATAAAGGGGTTTTGTGGGGGGGGGGTTGCATTGACAAATCCATTCCAGTGACCACCTTATAAGACAGTTGTTCTCCCCTGCAAAGTCCTGCAGTATTTTTGAAGCACTTGTACACTCAGCAGGGGCCGTTGTCAAACCTTTTCCTGTTATTTGCTCTAGAGGTGCACTTGCTTGTGTAATCTGGGCTACTGGAGGCAGCTTTGTGGGTAGGGACCGACTGTGTGCATGTGAGATTCCCACACTGAAAGAGCCGTTGTAATTCAAGGACCCGGAGAGCCTGTCGGAATTTCCCTATCTGGGGACTTGGTGACTGCCTGACAAGGCCTTGCTGGGCTCATGTGGAGGGGTGGGGAAGAGAAGTCCAAAATCTGGTGCGTGGCATTGTTGTTTGACCTGATTGTGGGGTGGGGGGGGAGGAGATCCCCCACCCCATGGTCCAGGAAATGGTCTGGCATGCCCTTGATGGCGGGGCCTGGTGTCAAGGAGGCCCTGCTTGAAAATTAATGAAGTTTTTTTATTGTAAACTGTCAGGGCATTCTTGCAGCAGAGAAATCATACATAGGATCAGACAGTGATCAGACAAAATGCTTTTGTGACAAATGGCCTGGGATATATTTCAGGGACTCGAGAACTGAGTGTAGTTCAAGTGTGAGTTGTTTCTGAACCATTGTTGCAGAACCATGCCTTTATTGCATTGTCTGAACCCGGTTGTGCTAACAAGCCATGGCTTGTTAAAGATGAACAACCCATGAAGAGAAACCATGGCTTGCTGCGCTGTAAACTGGGTTATTCACCATGGCTTTTTAACACAGCTGGGTTCGGGCAGCCTGATCTCACATGGTTCATAGATACCCCCAGGTTCCATGAGGACCCTTGTGTTGTCTGAATGGCATCTGGGACTGTGGGAGGATCTTAAACCCATGCAAGAGAAGGGACTGAGGAGAGAGGGAAACATGAAACACTTGTGCTGCTTCTCTGCAATTCATTTGAATTGTAAACTGGGTCACTCGCCATTTCTAAGATCCATATTTTCTTTGGTAAAAGTCGGATTGCTTATGTAGTTACCTCTGTGGAATTGTATGTTTCCTTGCCCTGCCTTCCTTTTATATTTTAATTAAAGGATTACACATCTTACACATTAAATTACAAACGTCCTAAGAAAGCTGAACAGCTATTAATTTATAGAAACCTGCACTAACCCTCTCCTATATCGTAAGAATTTTTACAAGGAAGAAGAACTGACCCCCTTTCAAACAGAAGGCCAAATTCCATTTCAGGGAAGCTTTTGAGACCCAACTTTTTTGAGGCCTTGAATTTTTCCGGACTCAGCCATCCCTCTGTGGCAAACTTCTTTGTCCTAGTTCCACGAATAGCTTTTTGCACTTCAAGCTGGCTTATCGCATCTGTAGGCCAAAGCATGACCATCCCCACTTTGCACATGGAGACGGTGATGGGCAGTCGAATAAAATTTGAATCAATCTGGAAGTATTCAGTGGTTCTACAACACTCCATCCTTTAACAGGCCGTGTGCCTCAGTGTATGAATTGCTTGGGAATCCAAATAGGAAGGTGGTGTTGCCCACATACTCTCGCTTAGATGCTGCCTTGTTTAGCTCAAGAAACTCAAGAAAGCTTTCATAATCTTCCCCTTCCCTTTCTCCATTTTATCCTGACTATTTAATCCCCTGAAGTCGGTTCAGCTGAGAGTTGGCAGCTGGCTTGAAAACAAAAGACCTCCAAGCCAGCTCACATGGTCCTCTTTTTTGGTTCGAGCCTCACAACGATGACCCTGAGAGGTGGGTTAGGTGGAGAGTCAGTGACTGGCTCAAAGGCCAAAGAGTTTTACATATTCTTCCCCTTTTTCATTTTATTTGGACAATAACTCTGTAGGTTGGTTGGGCTGAGAGTCAGTGACTGGCCCAAAAATTGAGGAACCGTGCATAGTCTCCCCACTTTCCATTTTATCCTCACAACAACCCTGCAAGGTAGGTTAGGCTGAGAGTCGGGGCTGGCCCAAAGTCACCACATAAGCTTCAGGGCTGAGCGGCATCCTGAATACCCCAGTCCAAAAATCTAAATGTTTATAGTGCACACCACTAGGTTTAATGGGGCTTATTTCCATATAAACTGAGAGTCTGGGATGATTGTTGCATTATACTGATAAATGATAAAGATGATGATGAATATTCTGCTTTTTTTCCTGCAAGGAACCCAAGGTGTCTCATAGATATATGGTGCTTTGCTTCTTCTAAGCAGGAAAGCAACCCTCTTACTGAACCAAAATCCTATTGTAGGTCTTGTATTTGCTTTTGTGTGGTCTAGTGTAGCAGTTCCTAAATTTTCCAGTCATGGAACCTTTCTGAAGACATTTATTTCCTGTGGAACCCTAACTCTAGCCCTGATTTTTACTAAGCCTTGTGAACCCACAATGTCCTTCCTTCTTTCATCTGCTCCGAAAGAATGCTTTGCATAACTGAGTAGGTTTGGAAATAAAGAGAAAACATTGTAAATACAGCGAATGAATAAAGCGATTATATGGCAATATCCCAAAGGAATTCTTCGGCTTATTCCCTGCGCTATGCAATAGAGTCCTAGGAACTAAATGACATGTTTTTCCTTGTTTGCTGCTTGGATGCCAACGGACAATCGAATAGTTGGCTTCGTGTAGTTTCATTTTAAAATCTTTTTTAAATTCGGTTTTTGAGATTTTTTGTGGAACCGCTGGGAGGCTTTTGTGGAACCTTAGGGCTCTTTGGAGTGCAATTTGGGAACTGCTGGTCTAGTGGTTAGAGCACCAGACTGGTTTGGGTGACTTTGGGCCAGCTGCTCACTCTCAGCCTGAGCTACCTTGCAGGGCTGTGGTGAGGATAAACGAGAGAGGAGATTCCCTGCAAAAGGGGTGGGGGTGGGGGATAAATGGAGTGCCTAAAAGGACCATGCTTCCCCAACCTTGTTCCTCCCTTAGCTATCGTGGACTTCAGTTCCCACCAACACTAGTCAGCATGGCCAGTGTCCCAGGATGCTGGAACTGTAGTCCATGTGGTTTTACAATAAACTTTTGGAGGTTCCCACCATGCAGGAGAGCCTCACCGTGGGCACTTTACTTGAAGGCAAGCACAGCTAAGGAGAGGTGATTTACTCCTGAGTAGAAGGGTTTAGCATGGATGCCTTTTCCAGATCCCCCCTCTCGCTTCTACAGATGGGAAGTTTATTTATGCTTATTTATGATTTATTTATGTTCTATGTTTACATCCGACCTGCAAAGAAGCCAAGGGTGGTTCTATATCCTTTCCATTTGGTTCTGACAAGAACCCTGTGAGGCAGATCAGACGGAGATCCAGTGGCCGCTCCAAAAAGCAAGGAGCCACATGTCTTCTTCCACCACCGCAGTTTACCCTGACAATGACCTTGTGAGGAAGGCCAGGCAGAGTCACCGACTGGCCCCAAACTCGGAGAGCTGTGCCTATTCTCCCCCTCCCCATTTTATCCTCACAACAGTGTGGCGTAGTGGTTAAGGCTATGGGACTGGGACTCAGGTGATCTGGGTTCGAGTTCCCGCTCAGCCATGGAGCCAACTGGGTGACTTTGGGCCAGTCACAGACTCTCAGCTCAGCCTACCTCACAGGGTTGTTGTTGTGGGGATAAGATGGAAGATGGAGGAGGAGATGTATGCTGCCTTGAGCCCTTTACAGGAAAAAGGCAGGATATAAATCAATCAATCAATCAAGCAATAAATACAAACAACCTTGTGAGGCAGGACAGGTGGAAAGTGCGCCTGGCCCAAAGTCACCCAGGGAGCTTCATGCACGGTCAAGCGGGGCTTAGCACCCAGTCCTCCAGCCTCCCAGGCCGATGCTGTAGCCACTAGACCACACTGCCGCGGAGCTTGCGCACGGGGGTGTCTTCTCCCGCCTCGTGCGTTGCCTTTCCCCTCTGAATGCTCCACCAAACGAAGCCTTCCTTGGAGCACCTCCCTTGCAAGGTTCCCCGGGAGTTGTAGTCCAAGGCGACCGAAACTACAAGTCCCAGAATTCCCTCGGAGGTCCAGCAAGGAAAGACTCCACGCCCCCTTGTCTCCCTCCCCGCCCCCGATCCTTCTGTGCAAAGGCTATTTGGTAAATGCACAAATCCGGGAAGAACCCCCGCCCCCCATTTAATTTTTAGCCAACGGGGATCAGATGGAGAGTGATGGGAAACCGGGAGGGACCTTTGAGGAATCGGATCGGGGCCACTAACAGCGCCGGGCTTGGAGGGCATCTGGGCGGGTGCAGGAGAGAAGCGGAATTTAGCGGAGCTCTAGAAAGATTTCTTTATGTCTCCATGTCTTTATTTTGCAGATTTAGGCGAAGCCTTTTCCGGCTTCCTTTGCATGCCTGCAATTTCCCCGAGTGCGGCTGCTTTGCTTTGGGGCGCACGTGGCTTCTGGCTGGAATTCGGATCAGGGAATCCGGATCAAGATGCTGCGTGCCTGAATAGAAGCAGGAACTGGAGGGGGTGGGGAAATCCCTCCCTGGAAGGCGGGGTGGCCCTGGACGGGCGAGGGAACCCCTCAAGCCCAGCCGGATCTGGGAGGCAGAGGAGGGTGAGTACTTTGTGATCTCTCCATTCCAGTTCGCGTGTCTGCGGGGATGCGGGTGTCCTCATAGCCTGAGCTTTGGGGGGACCGAATAGATCCCCCATTTCCCTGCAGAGGGGACGAGCTCCAATTCTGGAAGCAACCGTATCTTTCTGTCCGCATTGTGACCTACTCGGGGCAGGGATCTGCTCTCACAGAACCACCGGTGCACCTGGGAGGAGGTTCAAACGTGGTTCAGTAAGGGATCCGCATGGATGTGGTTGGGGCAGGAAGGACCTCAGGTGCCGCGATGAGAAGCCTCTTAGAGTGTGTTCAGGGCAGCATGCTTGTGTGTGGGATTAGATGCCCCCTGGATGCTGCCCTGGATGGGATTAGATGCCCCCTGGAGGAGCAGATCTGTAGCTCTGGCCATCCAGGTCACCTTCGTGATGGTCCAGCTAAGCCCTTTTCTGGACTAGCTTCAGTTTATTTATTTATTCATTCATTCATTTATATCCTGCCTTTTTCCGACAAAGGGCTCAAGGCAGCTTACATCATTCTCCTCCTCCATCTTATCCCCACAACAACAACCCTGTGAGGTAGGTTGGGCTGAGAATCTGTGACTGGCCCAAAGTCACCCAGTTGGCTGCATGGCTGAGCGGGGACTCGAACCCAGATCGCCTGAGTCCCAGTCCCAGGCTCTTAACCACGACACCACACTGGCTCTCAGTTGTCTTTGGGCTGGTTGGGTGTGCTTTGCTTGGGGTTCGCCTTGAAGGCGGTGTTGAGGTGGCAACTTTTGATTGATTGATTGATTGATTGATTGACTGCATTTATATACCACCCCACTAGCCCAAAGGGTTCTCTGTGTGGTTTACAGACATTAAAACCCCAAATGCAATATCCAGTCCTAAACAAATAAATTGGCTACACCATGACTGAGTATAAAATAACATGGTTTAAATGAATTAAATGAATAAATAAATATACAATTAAAATTAATTAACTTTAAAATATTGGTCAGATAAAAAGGTCTTGACCTGGCACTGAAAAGAATATAATGATGGCCCCAGGCGGACCTCTCTGCAGTCGGCTGGAGAACACTGAGCGCAGAGCGCTGGTTCTGCGCTGCTTGGGGTGGCGATCGGTATATTTCTGAGCCTGTTTCAGGTTTCTGTTCTTGACTTAAGAAAGCTTAACATGGCTCAGGGCTGCAGCGCCCGATGGAGCACCTCTGTCAATAGGACCCTACGGTAGGATCAATCTCTGACACCTTCGAGAGACTTTTGCGAAAGAGTCTTGGAGGAACAGAGCCTTCTTGGTAGTGGTTCCCCAGTGGTCTCCCCTCTCCTCACTGAGGTCTGCCTGGCACCTACATCATGTCAGGTTCAAACCTTCCTCTCATGATCAAGTTGGGATCAGGACCCTGTGCTCCTGCCTGCCTCCCAGTCCAATGCTCTAACCACTAAGCCACACTGCAGAGAAGGCTTGTGTGTGGGGTGCCCTGCTCTCTCAAGCCCTGCATTGACTTTTCCTTTTGAATGCTCCATCAAACGAAGCCTTCCTTGGAGCACCTCTCTTGCACAGCTGGCCAGGGTTCTCTGGGAATTGTAGTTCAAAGCAACCCGACACTACAAGTCCCAGAATTCCCTCAGGAGTCCATCAGGGAAAGAATCTCTCCCCCCGCCCCCGCCCCAAGCTCCCTGAATCTTCTGTGCAAAGGCTTTTTGGGAAATGCACAAAACCTGGAAGAATCCAACCCCTTTTAATTTTTAGCCATGGGGATCAGATGGGAAGGGATGAGCAAACTGAACCTCCAACAAGCATATGATAAGGTTTTTAATGAAGCCTAGGATTTTTATAGTTGATAGTGTGGAAACAGAATGCATATCATTTTATATCCCACTATTCTTGTATTTTGAGGACTTTATACTTTGTAAATAGCCCAGAGAGTTTTGGCTATTGGGCTGTTTGGAAAAAATAATAAATGACATAAGGAATCATTTCCCTACCTCCTGTTCAAGAATCATTTCTCTCTTCCTCTGTGTCCCCCGAATTATATTTTCGAAGTTTGCACCCCTCCCCTTTCTCAGAAACGTTCCGTAGCAACAGTCACGAAAATAACGATGGCGTTGTTAGAATAGATTGTGACTACCATGTTGCAGAGCAGTTGTATGGCCTTGCGCAGCACCCAGAGGGGACGGAGGAGACTTTGAATTCCCAGCTCCAAGACTGGAAATGCATCTCTGGATTTTAGAGCAGCACATCAATGAAGCGAAGGACCCCGGGAAGTTGGGGGTCTCCCACTCTGCAGGTGTTCAAGTGGCGACTGGACGGCCAGCTGAGAAGGATGGTTTATCCGGAGTGGTAAACCCGGAGTAGTGGGTTGCCTCGTTGCTCCGTCCAAGTCTGCTCTTCTAGGATTCTCTGATTTTACAGTTATTTCATTGGTACAGGGGTGAGGATTTTAAATATACACCCATAAGGGAGAGCCAGTGGGGTGTAGTGGTTAAGAGCATGGGACTGGGACTCAGACGATCCGGGTTCGGGTCCCCGCTCAGCCATGGAGCCAACTGGGTGACTTTGGGCCAGTCACAGACTCTCAGCCCAACCTACCTCACAGGGTTGTTGTTGTGGGAATAAGATGGAGGAGGAGAATGATGTAAGCTGCCTTGAGCCCTTTGTAGAGATAAGGCAGGATATAAATTGAAAAATAAATAAATACTTCTCAACAAACCAAAGTATGCAGCAGCCGACTTGGCTGGCTGTGCAAAATTGAGCAGCTGTGGCGAACGGGGTGGGAAGAGGGAATTTCCCAGGGGGGAGGAGCCCAGTGGCAGTTGGCCCCGCCCACACCATTGGAACGGACTGTGTGGCCTCAGCTGTCCCTCCCCGGCAAGTGGGCGGAGTGTGCATTTGCATACGTTTGCATAGGATCCGCCCCGTCCCCCAGAGGTGGTGTCCGTACAGATGATGCATCCGTGCTCCTCTCTGTCTTTTCCCTCTCTAGGCAAAAGCTCGGCGGACGCGGCTCGACCGTGGCAGCGTATTCCGGGGTCTTCCGCAGCGTTTTGGGGAGGTTGGAGATGGAAAAGGAGGCCCTTGCAGGCCGTACGCAAAAGGAGGCCTTGGAGGGTGCTGAGAAAGCGGTTCATGTCTTCCGGGGTGCTGTAAGCCGCAGGATGGATGTGGGGGGAGGAAGTGTCCCCCTGGAAGCAATGCATTCTGGGAATTCTGGGGGATCCCTCCGAAGAGCGATTCTGCGCCGGGTAAAGGAGGAGCCGGAAGAGGTCTTGGCCCAGTGCTGGGAAGCCCAGTGGCAGGAGTTCCTGAGGACGGTGGAGCCCCCTTGCTCCAGCTGGGCCGCCCCACAGTTGCCGGAGGAGCCCACCCCGTGGGACAACGCCACAGCCTTCCTGGCCTCCTTCGAGCAAGTGGCCAGCGCCTGCCGGTGGCCCAAGGAGGAGTGGGTGGCCCGGCTCCTGCCGGCCCTTGGTGGAGAAGCGGAGCTGGCATTCAACAGCCTGGAGGCCAGGGACAGAGAGGATTATGGGAAAGTGAAGGCCATCATCTTGCGATGGGACGCCCTCACCCGGGAGCGGTGGCGCCAGCACTTCCGGCACTTCCGCTACCAGGAGGCCGAGGGGCCCAGAGGGGTGTACGGCCACCTCCAGGAGCTCTGCCGTCAGTGGCTGAAGGTCGAGCGGCACTCCAAGGAGCAGATCCTGGAGCTGCTGATCCTGGAGCAGTTCCTGGCCGTCCTGCCCCCGGAGACACAGAACTGGGTGAGGGAGCACGGCCCCGAGACCTGCTCCCAGGCCGTGGCCCTGGCTGAGGAGTTCCTTCTGCGGCAGCAAGAGGCCCAGAGGCAGGGTCACCAGGTCAGTCTCAGCCGTTGGAGGCATCTTCTTTGAAGTGTGTTGGGGCGCAGCCTTCTAAGGCAACCAAAGTCCATGCTGCTGCTCTTTACACCTATTCTCATACCTCAGGCCCTAACACAGCCTTCTCCCAAGCCGTGGCCATCCAGATGCCCCCAGCCAGGCATGCTGGTTGGAGGATGCTGGGAACTGTAGTCCCACACACCTGGAAGGCACCAGGTTGGCGAAGACTGTCCTCGTGCTTTTTAATAGTACTTATTTCATTTTTGTAGCCCCCCGTGTCTGAAGCTCTTTGGGCAGCTGGCAACAATTCACAGAACCAGGGACCTCAACTACAGTAAAATGCAGCACACATAAAAACAGTTTGACAATAACTGAAACTGATTTTAAATTCTTAAAAAGTGCTAGAGCAGCTTTCACCAACCTGGTGCCTTCCAAATGTTTTGGATTGCAATTCCCAGCATCCTCCAGCTAGCTTGCCTGACATAGATGTTCCATCAGGCCATGAAATACCCTGAAATTTCATTAAATACATCGAAGAATTGGACAAGCTTAATCTGGTGACTTAGTCTGGCACCCAAGAGTTGGTGCTGTGTGGGTCCTAGCAGGGAGATCATTCCAGAATCGGGGCCACCAGTGAGAAGGCCCTTTCCTTGGTTGTCTTGCTCCAAGCTTCCCTTGGAGGCAGCACCTTGAGAAAGAAGGCCACTGCTACTTTAAAAATCTATATCAATTCCCTGCCTATTATTGCAGCATTAATCCTAAACCCTATCCTTAATTCTAATCCTAAAACACTCTTCAAAGGTCCTTCTCCAGGTGCCTTCATTGCACGAAGTCGACTAGGAGGGCCTTTTCAGTGGTGGCGCCAAGATTGTGGAATGTCCCCCAGAGAGGCTCCCTTGCTACCAACAAAGTCTTTTTGGTGCTAGCTGAAGACTTTAAAAAATTCCCAAGCTTTTTAGTTCTGGGAAATGGTGTCAGTTTTTTCATCATGCCACTCGGCTGGTTTTTACTGGTTTTAACTTTGGTTTTATCCTGGTTTGAACATATGGGTTCTAATATTATGTTTTCATACTTTTGCAGTTGTGTGTTGTGAACTGCCCACATTGCTCAGGCTAGTGGGCTGTATAGAAATGTAAGCAAGCAATGTTTTGACCTACAGCTGCCATCAGTCCCAGCTGACATGGCCAGCGTGAGCCCTAACATCTGGACAGGTGTTAGCAGGTCACACAGGACCAGGAGCTTTTCTCGATCATCCCAGGGACATGGACAGTGGAAGCCTGTTTCTGGCTGAGCATCAGGAAAAAATTACTGCCTGTTGGAGCAGTCCAACAATGGAACCCATGAACCGGGGAGGTGATGGAGGGATTCAAGATGCAGCCGGACAGCCGTGTGAGAGGGTGGTTTAATGCGGGGTCCTGCATTGAGCAGGAGGTTGTATCCCATACCTTTCTGGGCGACCTCCAACTCTTGTTCTGGGGTTCTAGAATGGCTTCTCCTGTTCTAGATAGTGTAACTCAGGCGCAGGCAACTTAATTTATTAATGTATATTTATATCCCACTTTTTTTCTTTCTAGGAACACAAGGTGTCTTATATAATTCTCTCCCCCCCATCTTATCCTCACACCAACAGCCCTGCGAGGTAGGTTGGGTTGGGAGTCAGTGACTGGCCCAAGATCACCTGGTTGGCTCCACAGCTGAGTGGGGACTAGAACCCGGGTCACTTGAGTCCCAGTCCTGCCCTCTTAACTGCTCTACCACATCATAGCCTCCAAAGGAAGGTGCTGAAATGCTAAGGTTTATATTGGTATCTGTCAGGTTATCGGTGGAACAGTCTTCTTCGATATAGACTGCCTTGGTTTTTATATTCGGAGGCCTCGGCCTGCTGACCATATCGTGGCTCACTGGAGTTCTTCAGGCCATGGTGTGGAGCAGTGCCTTCTTGCGCGTGACCCCCATTCTCTGGAAGGAACTCCCCACTGAGGTGCAGTGGCCTCTGTCGAACAACTGAAGGCACACTGGTTTACCCAGCCATTTTTCTGACTGCTGGTTCTGTCAGCAATCCCTAATTATTTGGGGAATAAAATAAATTTCCTTCTTGATGTTATAGTGTTTCTAATCATGGTTTTATTTTATCGTAGTGCCTGGTGGTTAAAGTGTTGGACTGAAACTTGGGAGGTCTGGGTTCTGATTCCCACTCAGCCCTGAAGCTTATTGGATGACCTGGGCCAGTCAGAGTCTCTCAGCTTAGCCTACCTCCCAGGGTTGTTGTTGCGTGGATGTGATTGAGAGGAGGAGATCTTTCCAAGCCACCTTGGGCTCCTTACAATAGGAAGAAAGATCTTGTGATCTTTCCAAGCCACCTTGGGCTCCTTACAATAGGAAGAAAGATCTTGTGATCTTTCCAAGCCACCTTGGGCTTCTTACAATAGGAAGAAAGATCTTGTGAACTGTCTCTCTAGAGAACTTGGCGATGGGCAGGTATAGAAATGAAATTATTATTAATAATAGCATAAATCACTTTGGATTTCTTTTAAAAAAGCAAAAATCGGTGAGCATTTTTGACACAAAATATGTGCATTCATGGCTAGCAACTTGTTTTTGATCTGCTTCTTGCTTGTTCCAGTGCACAGGGTGAAAAGGCAGGATTCGGCCGTTCCAGGTGTGTCTCTTTACCCTGACTGGGTTCCTCTCTGTTGTTCATTCCAGGAAACTTTTGAGGAGGGTCCCCCGCGGGCCCCTGAGGCTGGCCAGGCTGTTTCTGATGTCGAGGAGGGGCAACTGCGCATAGAAACCAAACAGGAGGAGGAGGAGGGTGGCTGCAACAGGAAAGCCGGCCTCCTGGGTGAGCCTTGCAGAGGGCCCGCCATTGGGTAGGACTCCAAAGACAGGCAGAAATTGCAAAATCACAAACACACAACACTAATGTTGCTCTCTTCTGGGCGCCAGAGTTTTAAAACGGTGCAGGCAAGCCGGGAAGGGTTCAGAGGAGGGCAACAAGGATGAGCCAGGGACTGGAAAATCTGCCCTGTGAAGAACTGAAGGAACAGGCCGTGTTTATTTATTTATTTATTTATTTATTAAAACATTTCTATGCCACCCCTTGCCGAAGCCTCGGGGCGGCTTGCAACACAATAAAATACAATAAAATACAAAAATAATAATATAAACTTAAAATTAACAACATAAAATAAACAGTATAAAAGAAGTCGCCCTGGCCAGATAAATAAGCAAATATTGTTAACAATTAAAATGACGTTTAAATAAAAAGGTCTTCACCTGGCGCCGAAAAACAAATAACGTGAGAAGACTGAGGGGAGACAGGATCTTTCTCTTCAAGTACTTCAAAGGCTGCCACAACGAGGAAGGCCAGGATCTCTTCTCGGTCATCCCAGAGTGCAGGACACAGAATAACGGGCTCCAGTTGCAGGAAGCCTGATTCTGGCTAGATATCAGGACAATGTCCGGACTGTTAAGCAATGGAAGCAGTGACCTGGGGAGGTGGTGGGCTCCCCCACACTGGAGGCATTCAAGAGGCAGCTGGGCAGCCACCTGGGAAGGATGGGTTAGCTTGGAGTCCTGCACTGAGCAGGGGCTGAACCCACTGTGTCCCTTCCCGGCTCTGCTATTCTATGATCCTAGGCCACAATTGATGGAAGGGCCAGGCAATCTCCACTTCTGCTTTGCATTTTCCCCGGATGGCTGTTTTTGACAGTCTAGCATTGACGTTCCAGAAAGGAGCCTGGTGAGGTGTGTTGCTTCTGGTAGGAAACATCTCAAGCCCTCCAGCACCCTGTGACCCCTACTGGAGGTTGCCTTCCTGGCCAGGGGGGGAGCAGCCGCTGTGGCTCTTCTGGCACCAGCTGCCATGGGGCAGAGAACGGAGAATGCAGCCCAGATGCCCCGCTCCAAAGTCGGAGTGCATCTCCAAATCTGCACCATCCTATGGCAAATACTATTGATGTTATTGATTAGGCTTTTGAATAGTTTGATTCTGTTTCTTTCTATGTATTTCATTTAGTTGATTATGAATAATTCAGTAAATTATCAATTTTGTGGGATTTAATGATGAAGTGAAGGCATGCTTCCTTTAAAATAGATCTCTATTTTAGAAAAAGAGCAAGACAAGAGACAAAGAATGAGCAGGAGAATATCTTTATAATATGCTGCCTTGGATGATGTTTATTAGTGGAAGAGTTGGATACAAGACAGACAGACAGACAGAATGTATTATATTATATAACTCCTCTGTAAAGAACTGCTACATCTTATGGGACTATTGAACTTAAAGAAGAGATGATGAGGGGAGTCATGACTGAGGTGTATTGTACCGTGTGTGGTGTGGACAGATGGACATCCCCCCCCCCACCACCCATAATCTCAGCACCCAAAGGGTCCGTCCCATGAAGCTGATGGATGGGAGATTCAGGACAGATGAAAGGAAGGGCTTTGTCACACAGCACAGAGCTAAATGGTGGCACTCGCTTCTACACGACGTAGGGATGGTCTCTGGTTTGAATGGCTTTAAAAGAGGACTGGTGGAGGAGGCCATCAAGGGCTACTAGTCCTCATGGCTGTATGCTGCCTGCAGTATCAGAGGCAACATACCTCTGTACACGAGTGGCTGAGGAACATGGATAGGGGTTGCACTCATGCCCTCCCTGAAGGTTTCCCACATGTAGCCAACTGGGTGAAGAGAACCCTGGACAAAGGATAACCATTATTATTATTATTATTATTATTATTATTATTATTATTATTATTAGAACATTTCTATGCCGCCCCTTGCCGAAGCCTCGGGGCGGCTTACAACACAATAAAATACAATATAAACATAACAATATAAAATTAAAATTAATAATATAAAATAAAAAATATAAACGATATAAAAGAAGTTATAAAAGAAAAGTTAGAAAAGAAAAGAAAAGAAGTCGCCCTGGCCAGATAAATAAGTAAATATTGTTAACAATTAAAATGACATTTAAATAACAAGGTCTTCACCTGGTGCCGAATCTAGGTGCATCTATGCCACTGAATAGACATACTTTTATATACTGTTTGAGATAATGCAAGGCCCTTCCTGAGAACAGCTTCCTTTTCTCCCGCATCATTTCCCTGCCTTCAGGTTTCCCTATTTTCTCTGGTCCAGGGATAGAGTTGCGTGACTTCCTTTCCTTGCATCTTCAGCAGGCAAAGGGTGGGCAACTGCAGATGTTGGCGAGAACTGCAAACCGGATGATCTGCGGCCAGGGGACCTGCAGGGAGCCTCGCTGTGGAAAGCTGAGCAGGATCATTCCCCATGCCGTGGGCAGGACCATGCCTTGGGAGGCCGAGGAAGAGCAGAGTGTTGGCAGGACACAGAGGAGGCAGATCCACCAGCTCCCTGTGGCTTGAAATGTCTCAAGGCCTCTAGCGAGCCCGCGATGCAGATAGAAATCGGTGCCGGTAAGAGACAAACCCCCCTGAATGGCTCGGGGAAATGGCAGCGAATATTTGGCTGGGAAGAGGAAAGCACATGTATGGGACTGGGGCTTAAATCATGCTTCTGCAGCAGGAAGGGCTGCCAGTCAGAGCAGGCAAGGCTGGGCTACATGGATGAATGCTGTTGCAAGACACTTACGCGAACCGGTGCGTGCTTGGGCGGCTGGCTGGGGCTTGCTTGGCCTTGTGGGCCAGTGGAAGCATCTGGGGAGTTGTAGGATCCTTGTTTTCTGCCTCAGCACAAATGGAATTGCACCCTAAAAGCCAGTGTTGGATGCCTGCAGTTTTCTGCTTTCCAGACTTTCCCCCCCACATTTAACCCTGGCCAGGAAGTGAGCCAAGCTGAGCTCAAATCCGCAAACATTTGGGAGCTCTAGTGCGTAATTCTTTGTGCGAAATTACAAAGGATGTAACCGTTCGCACAAAGGACACAAAGCCTACAAGTGGCGTGTGCAGAAGCAGAGCTGAGCTTGAACGCGCTTCCTGCTGGACGCCCACATGAACGCTCAGTGCAAGGCAGGCTTGGGGAAGAGAGAAAGCAGACCTGAATCCAGGGTCCTAGTTGAAGAAATCTGACAGATTTCCATCCCTAGACCAGATTCCTCACATACCTGTAAGTGTAATGGAGGCCCCTATGAAATGGTGTGAAGGTTTTGCTTACAGAACAAGAACTGCATAGGTTGCATAACACCGTATGGGTAGATCAGAGAGAGAGAGCTACTCCTAAGGCATGGCTTGAAGGCACGTGATGTGGCTGCCAGGCTGAAGCTAAGCAGCTCCAGCTCTGGCCAGTGTTTGGAGGGGAGACCAGCAGGGAACCCTATATAGCCATCCTGAGTTCCATAATGGAAGAAAGGTGGGATAGAAATGTCACAAACAGTGAAGAGAGCCAAAGATCAATTTGCTAGGCCTGACTGAAGGTTAGTTCTGTGGGCCTGGTTTGAGCCAGAGTGAATTTTGAGACGTGCACCAGAGAAAATCACCTTCAAACTGCTTTTTCCAAGTATATTCCTTAGAAAAGAGTGGCTTTTGGCCTTGAGATATGAGACCATTTCCTTTACTGAAGCAGCTCTGCCTCCTTTACCTCTTAGGAAGGGGGTTTGAGCCTGTGTGTATATTGCCAGCCTCTGAAACAGGGAGAGAGACTTTATAAGAAGTACTTTTTGTTCTCAGCTTGGGGAAAAGAACTGACATGTTGCTTATCCAGACAACTTTAAAGGCCCACGGAGCATCCCCTGCCCTGTTTAGGGACTGAATATGGCCACTGAGAATGTGAATGTTCCATCCTTGTAGTCAGTAAATTTTATGTCATCTTTGACACAACTGAGAATCTCTCTAGGGATAGGAAGGACAAATAGACTAATATGCTCATAAGGAACGCATGACTGGACTACCGAAATGTGGCAGAGAGAAAGAAGCAGGCTCAAAGAAAAAACACAAAACTGACTCTTTATTTTCTCTTGCACTCTTACTTTTCTCTTTGTTCCAGCACAAGATGGGTGGGAGAGTGAGGAGGAAGAGGAACCGCCTGGGATGTTGTCAGACAGAATCAAGAACAATGAGAATCCTTGGGAGCACTGTGGACCAATGATAGAGGAAGGAAACAATAATGAGAAAGAGGAACATCAATCCATTCCTTGTGAGGATGGGGACTTTTATGATATCCAAGTCCAACAAGAACAAAGAGAAAACAGAAAGGACAAGTGCCTCATTGCTCATTGGAGAATTCACACAGAGAATAAACCCAATCAAAGCTTAGAGTTTGAGAATAGCTTTTTGGAGGCCAGAAGTCTTCCTGAATTTCAAATGCATGAAGAAGAGAAACCTTATAAGTGCTTTGTTTGTGGAAAGTGTTTCACACGGAGTACAAACCTTACCTCACATCAAAGAATCCACACAGGGGAGAAGCCATATGGTTGTCCAGACTGTAGTAAGAGATTTTCTAGCCAGTCGGACCTTATTAAGCATAAGAGAATTCACAGAGGAGAGAAACCATATAAATGCTTTGTGTGTGGAAAGAGCTTCAGTCAAGGTGGCCATCTTACTTCACATCAGAGAATTCACACAGGGGAGAAACCCTATAAATGCTTGGAGTGTGGAAAAAACTTTAGTAAGAACACTAACCTTACTTTGCATCAAAGAATTCACACAGGGGAGAAACCCTACAAGTGTCTGGAATGTGGAAAGAGCTTCACTTGGAATTCAAACTTGACTTCACATCAAAGAATACATACAGGAGAGAAACCATTTAAATGCTCAGATTGTAGTAAAAGCTTTTGTAATCACTCAACTCTTATTAAGCACATGAGAATCCACACAGGAGAGAAACCCTATAAATGCTTTGCATGTGGGAAAAGCTTCAGTCAGAGCTCAAGTCTTACTGCACATAAGAGAATTCACACAGGGGAAAAACCCTATAAATGTTCAGAATGTGGGAAGAGCTATAGTAAAAACACAAATCTTACTTCACATCAGAGAAGTCATACTGTGGGAAAATTGCATAAGTAAAGGTCATAATGGTTGGATGGTAGATTCTGGAGAACGTATAGAAAGCAGACTTTTCCAAAGATAGCAGAACTGCAGCTGCTATATGATTATAGATCCTCTCATAGGAGAGAAGCTGTATAAATGCCCATATTCTAGCAAAATCCTATTTTATACATCAGGTTTAGTTACTAGGCCAGGAGAAGCATCCCTATCAGTAAGGCAGAGGAGATAATTGAGAAAGGAGACAGAAGTTTAAAAATTTTCCATTGTTTCACCTATCAGTCAGTTGAAATGTAAGCACTAGGACAGTACTATTTTCTAGTTTTTCATAGATATGCTTGCCAACCTCAGCTGTGTTAATAAACTGAAATAAATGTCTTTTCTGGATCTACATGTGGTCACTTGATCATCTTTTTTAAGTTTTATTATTATTTTCTACAAACTAAAAAAAAGAAACTAAAACATCAATCATCAAAGACATCAGACCTACTGGATCAGTTCCCCATTTTTTTTTATAGCAATCCGTAGACATATTCAAATCTACGCATAGTCCCGTTTCTCTAGCCAATAATAAAAAGTTCCAAGTTTGATAGAAGCATGTCTCCTCTTTCTCCTTCAGAGACAAAATCAGCCTGTCCATTTCAGCGCAGTCCAGGATCTTTTTTAAAATCAGTTCATCAGTGGGTGGTTCTTCACTCCTCCAATGTTGGGCAAATACAATCCTTGCCGCAGTAATTGCATGTAGAATCAAATATGTTGCTTGTTTATCAACATCATCAGACACAATGCCTAATAAAAAGACTTCAGGTTTAAATAAAGATTTTTGTAACATTTCCTCAAGCCATTTATGTACCATCATTTATGTACGACCATCTTTCCCCTGAGCAGAGGGGAAAAGCTTTTGATGGAGCTCAGAGTTGTTTTTAAAAGAGCTTCCCAAGTGGTTTGTTAGTATGAAATATCAAAAAAAGAAACTGGGCAGCCATCTCAGTGGGATGATGTAACTGGGTGTCCTGCAACAGCAGGGGGTTGGCCCTGATGGCCTTCATGGCCCCTTCCAACTCCACTTTTCTATGATTCTGTATGTGTAGTATTTTTATCTCGCTTCCCAGCCAGAATGGCCCTCGGGTTTACACTCTAAAAACAGAAGATACACCAGGGATGTGTTTAACATAAAAGTACATTAGAACAGTTACAGTGGTTTGGACAATATTGTAAATTATGGCTAACATAGTGGAAGTGATACTGAATCTTGTATTTTCATATTCCAGCACCATATAAAAATACTTCATCTTTTTGTATCAGTGTGTAACTGATGCTTCCAGTCCTGAAAAAAGTTGTTAATTTAACTATGTACAAGAAATCCCATTTTTTAAAATGATAATTCCATTATTTTGTCAAATGGCATTCTAGTGCAACTTTCATATACTGTTCAACATCTATGCAGATATATTAAAAACAAGATTAATAAAAAGAAATAGAGTATTAATAGAAAAGTGGCTAGACACCTAAATAAAAATGATTTTAGAAAGTACTAGAAACAACTTAGTGGTGGTACCTGCCCAAGTTCCAATGGCCTCAAATTCCACATTTATTAAATGAATAACCACTTCTTGATCTTCTAATGCATTGAGTGATCTGAATAAAATATAAGTGCAATATAATAATAATATTACTGTATTGGCAGGATCCAGAGGTAAAATGCAACTCGTGATTTCTCTTATTTGTGTGTTTGTTTTTTTTTAAATGAGTGATTTGTTGCTGCTTAGACAGATCAATAGCTTCAGTAAATATTATTCGGCCCAGAACAGATTAGATGTTACTACATTAACATCAGGGGATAAACTATCATGTCTTTTAAAAGCAGACTTTCTGAGTGAGGGCTGGCAGGCCTGGAGCCAACGCACGGCCCTGAAGGCCAAGATGGCTGCATCGGCATTTTTGAAGGATGCTTAGCTTTGCAGAAGCTACCTGGGGCCAACCCTGCCCCATTCCCCCAGCTCCCAAGGGCCATTCCAACAAAAGAACCCCAGCCAGGTAGATCTGAGCAAGGCTGAGTGAGGAACTGAACCATGGTGGCTCCAGTTCTGACCTGAAGCGCTATCAGCTGTCCCAGACTGGTGATCAAAGCGGCCCGGCCCGGCTGTGGGAATATCCTATGGCGTGTGGGCCATTGTTTGGTCCACGCTGGTTCTTTTCCCATTTGATTTGAGCAGGAAATGTGCATCTTTTGAGCAGAAAAAAACATGCATTACCAAAAGCATGCTATAAATGCACACTTCCCTACAAATATTAAAGTGCAAAGTGCACTTTTTTTAAAAGAGCAAATGCAAATTCAGTCGCTTGCGAGCATATTTGGAGGCTGTGTCCTGCTTCGGTTCTTGGTTGCAGTTGTGATCATAAATGTATATTTCTATGTTGTATATTTCCGAGGGGGTGTCACACACAGGTGGGTAGAGACCTGTCCTCCCCTGCAGAGGAGGGCAGGACGCACTCCAACGGAGCAAAGCTCAGGGAACCCAGGTTCAGTTTGGATGGCAGGAAGTACTTCCTGGCAGTCGGGACCCCGAGGGTGTGGAACGGGCTTCCCCGGGAGGTGGTTGAGGCCCCATCCGTGAGGGTGCTCAAGGATAGGTTGGACATGCACATGGGAGGCATGTTGTGAGCAGAGCCAGCTGGAGCCGGGGGTCAGACTAGATGACCCAGGAGTCCCTTCTGACTGCTCTGGTTCTATGTTATTACCTGCAAATTTCTATATTACAGGTTGGTTAGGGAGGGCTACCACCTAGTGGTTGAAGGAGGTACAGCCAAACTTCATTTATTTAAATAAGTGTTTTGGATTACAAGGTGACCTTTTACCTTGCTGGCTGGACACTTTGGAGGTCACTGGTTGGAGGGCACCAGGCTGGGGAATGTTACTCTAACCACTATATTGCACAGTCTAGCTATCCTCACCCTAGGAGGGCCTTCACAGGGGAAGATGCCAGAAACAACTCAGAAATACTTATTTAACTCAGTGCTGCTTATTTTGCAGCAAAAACAGAACAGAATTGGTCGCATGCCAGGGGCCTTAATTTCTAGACTTGGGGCAGAGACCTACAGTTCTTCAAAGTGGAATACTGAATGGCAGTCCAAAAGCTCAGACGTTTTAAAGGGAGGGGTCCTTTTGCTGGGAACAAATTCCAGCAAACCTTGCAGATCCAAAGGGAATGGCCAACATCTGGCCGGTATGAAGTGCACAAATGCAGCCAGGAGAAAAAGATGAGGGCCCTGATGAAAGTTACTGAGTCTTCATTGTAAAATTGCAATTTCTCCCCAGTGAGAAAGGAAGGAATAGCAAAGACTGAAGAGCTGCAAAAAGTTCCACACACCTGGGGGTGGGGTGGGGGGTTCACCTGCTTTGCTGCCCCAGGAAGTTAGTGGATGGACTGCATCTTTGCTTTTGCTCCCCTGGAACAGCTGCAGCTTTGCTTCTGGTTGTTCCTTGGAACTGGACAATTGGCTTTTGCCATGATCTGGGTGAGTTTATGGCTGACTTTCCAGCTACCAATGAAAAGGAAATCGTGAACCTCTGTGGCTGGCAGGGAGGAAGGAATCATTCAAAAACTATAAATTGCTGACAATTTCCTTGCTGTTTGCTCAGCCCCATTAGTCAGTATTGGGGACCTTTTTTACTTCCCTGGAAATATTCAGAGCTGACGGGGGGAAGGAATCCTTCCTCCCCCTTGAAAAATTCAGTGCGATTGTCTCTTATCTACCACCACCAATTTCTCTGGTCACAAATATGGTGGAGAATTTTAAGGGGCTAGCTGCCTGCAGCTCAATGGAGTGTATTTTCCCAAGGTCCCTCGAAGAGCTGAACTCAGCCATGTTGCTACTTCCAGTCATTTGGGGAACCTGGCTTTCAGATTTCTCATTTGCCTCTAGCTGATGATCCCAGGCATTCTGGATTTGGCCTCTGAAATATTATAGAAACAGAGTGAGTCAGAAGGGACCTCCTGGGCCATCTAGTCTGACCCCCAGTTCCAGCTGACTCCACTCATGTAACTGCCTCTCACCAATGCCTGCAAATTTCCCCTGAGATTGGAGAGAGAAGCCCCTTCAGGTCAGAGTGATTGTGGCTGAGGGTGGGAAAGCCCACTCATGTCTCCCCCCACCCCCAGGTGCTCAATGCCGACCAAAACAGGCCTGAGTTTCTCCAATGAATATTGAAGTCCTTGATGGAAGGGCTTCAGTGGAAGAGCCTCAAAACCAATGGCGGGAGTGAACACTCACACTCGTAGGAAGCTGAATCGCCATGAACCCCCATGGTCACCCCCCCCCCCGCAGTTGCTTGTGACAATAGCGGTCCTCACAGCCAACTACAAGCACCATCTTGTAGATGCCTGCACCATCTGCCCTGCCTTCCAGTTGAACTTCGCGCCCAATTTAAGGTGCTAATGATGACTTACAGAGCCCTAAACAACTTAGGACCTGGATATTCGAAGGAGTGCCTCCTTCCATAGTTGCCTGCCCATCCCCTAAGATCTGGATTGAGGGTCTTTCTTTGGGAGCCCTCTTTGAAGGAGATCAGAAGCGTGGCCACCCGGAGAAGGGCCTTCTCTGTGATGACACCCTAGTGGTGGAATAGAGAGGTGTGCCTGGCACCCACACTTTTTTCTTTTTGGTTCCAGGCCAAAACCTTTTTATTTTTCCATTATTTTAAGTGTTAATAGTATTTTAAGATTGAATTTTACTCATTTAGTGTAATCTTTCGATTCTGCACCCTCTTTATTTAGCTGTATCACCACCCTGAAACATTATGAAGGGCAGGATAGAAAAGCCTCAAATAAATAAATAGATAGATAGATAAATAGATAGATAAAATATACAAGTGCTTTCTAGGGTGTGAGTCACCTACACAAGAGCTGGGGTTGATGGTGAGCAAACAGTGGGTACATACCAAGAGATAATATATTCATGAACAAAACAATCTGAAGAGATTGCAGAGGAGACATGACCTAACCTTACAGGAAATATCAATGATTACAGAGTATTCATATGGCACTTCCATCATACCAGGGTTTGGGTGTGGGGGCAACTGATATGCGGGCAAACTAGTCTGCAGCCCAGCTAGTTATCAGAAGAAATGCTAATAAAGCAACAAGCTTAACTTTGCAACTAAATGCAGCAGCATCCCAGGGAAGAGTTCCAATCTCTTAAAGGAACAGCTCACACTAAACAGAAGCCTGGCTTGGGATTTGGGTTCTTTCTGAGAATGAGAGGTAGGCAGGGACACTGCAGCGTTGATTTTATAACACAAAAGCACATATAGCAACCTTTTTCTATAAGGATTTATCTGGATTTTCTCAACACTAAAGCATTTTGGAACAAGACCCATAAGAAACACATC